GGAGCACCCGAAGGTCGCCCCAAGAGCGCCCAAGAGGCCTCCAAGATTGCCCCAGAACGGCCCAAGACGCCCCCAAGACGGGCCCAAGAGGGCCCCAAGACGGCCCAAGAGGCCTCCAAGACGCCCAAGATGGCCTCCAAGACGGCCTTGGAGCACCCCAAGAGGGCCCCAAGTCGGCCCAAAGAGGCCCCCAAGACGGCCTCCGACGGCGTCATTCGGACCAGAAGCCACCAAGACGGCCAAAGAGGCCCCCGAGAAGCCCCGTAAGGCCCCCAAGACTCGCAAGGAGGCCCCCAAGATGCCTCCAAGAGGCTCCCAGGAAGCTCCCAGGAGGCCCCAAGAGTGTCCACACAGGCTCCCAAGATGCCCCCCCCCCTCCTCCTCCTCCTCCTCCTCCTCCTCCTCCTCCTCCTCCTCCTCCTCCTCTCCTCCTCTCCTCTCCTCCTCCTGCTCCTCCTCCTCCTCCTCCTCCTCCTCCTCTCCTCCTCCTCCTCCTCCTCCTCCTCCTCCTCTTCCTCCTCCTCCTCCTCCTCTTCCGCTTCCTTCTCCTCCTCCTCCCCCTCAGCCTCCTCCTGATCTTCCCCGTCATCCTCCCCCAAGTGTTCCCCGGAGGGTTTTTCCACAACGGCTGGGGGAACACATGGTCCGATAGTTTGGCGGAGCTCTTGCCACAACGCTCGGCCACACGGGCGATTCTAGAAGGCAGGGGGCGGCGGTGATTCTCCGTAGGCGTCTTCGATAACGCCAACGTCTCAAAATGCGCTGATGATTCCTATCCGCCCCCGCATGATGTTCCAGATGCGCCAAGGCAGCGCCGAGACGCACCGACGCGACTCTGATATATCACACTATGATAGAGACAGGACCAGCGGCAGGGGGCGACGCCCTTACGTATATTCGCCCTTGCAGGCCCCCAAAGGCAGAGGTGCCGCATGCGCACGACTCGGGGCACCGACTCGGAGGAGGAGAAGGCGAAATGAGAAGCACGCAGAAGAAGCAGCAGCGGTAGCGGCAGGTGGAGAAAGAGCGCCCGCAGGCGGGGAACCTCCCTCTGCATCCCCGCAGCAGACCGAGCCGGAAGCACGGCCGCCTACAGAGAAACCGGCCACGATCTGGCACGCCGCGTACGCCAGGCCAGCCACATTGTTCTGCCGCGTCCTGGTGGGCGGAGGAAGAGGAGGAGGAGCAGGAGGAGGAGGAGGAGGAGGAGGAGGCGAAGGAAGAGGGGGACGAGGAGCAGGAGGAAGAGGAGGAGGAGAGCGAGGCCCAAGCACACTGGCCCTGCATGACCGGCCTGTGCCGCCCTGGGCCGTCTGGCCTGGGGCAGCACGGTATGCCTTGATTGGCGTGCGCAGCTGAGGGCGCGCTGGCTCCTCGCCGGTCTATCCGCACGGGCCCACGGAACGTCCGCGGCGCGCCGCCGGCGGGACCAAGAACATGCTCGATCCACTTGCCGGCCGCCGCCGCGGGCCGAAAGGCCAAGCTTGGATTGCTCCGCGTGCGCCGCGGGCCCACGGACCTCCCACGGCGAGCCGCTGGCGGGGCCGAGAACATGCTCGATCCACATGGCGGCTGCCGCCGCGGGCCGAAAGGCCGGGCTTAGATTACTCTGGGCCGCCCTGGGCCCGTTGCCTGGCGCGTGTCGCGGATCCGAGGACCGGCCACGATGCGCCGCCGGCAGACCGAGAACGCGCTTCGATCCACTTGCCGGCCGCCGACGCGGACCGAAGGCCAGGTCAGGACAGCCCAGGGCCGCTGTTGAACCGGGGGGGGGTGCCGCGGCGGAATGGCGCGGGCGGGCGGCTCTCAGACTCCGAAGGCCCCCCCCCCGACACGGCCCTCGGCGCGGCTTCCGAGACAGACGGCTCTCGGGTCATGTTAACTCAGGGCCCCCCCCCAACGGGCACCCCCTGGCCAGCCACGCGCGCCCTGCCCGACCCTACCCAAAGCCAGGGCAAGCGAAACCAGCCGAGGGGGGGCGCAACGGAAGGGGGGGGCCCACCAGAACGCGCACCCCCCGATCCCCCGACAACGCTCCTGCGCACGCGCCGTCCAGAGACATCCGCCACCCCCGACCCGCGGAGCCACGACCGCGGGCCCTCGGGCGGCGATGGTGACGGGCCCAGCCCAGCCCCCAAGGGGCAGGCACCGGCCCATACCCACCGCGCGCCTCGAGGCCCCGCGGCGCGGCACCGCGGCGGCGGCTGGGACCTGTCCAGGCGGCGGAGGGGCGAGCGAGGGGAGGGGGAGGTGGGCGCGCACCTTTCTGTGGCCAAGTCAAAGGGGAGGTGCCACGAGCCTAACACGCAGCGAGGTACCCCATCAAATGCGCGGGTCCTCGAAGAACGCAGGCCGGCCCGCCCCCCAAAAGTAGTGTGAGGGCCGCCTGCCATCTGCTGCGTTGGCCGTTACACTCTAGCTACCCCCCGACACGCCTTGCCCCGCATGCCGCGGGCTTCTGCCGTGGGGGGACGCGCGCCGCAGCCGCTCGGTCCCGGGGTGGAGACAGGGGAGCCGGGGGCGGCGGGGAGGGGGGAAGGGCCCCCCCTTGCATTGGTTGTGGCGAACGCCCCCCACCGGATATACCTCTTGCGCCTCCAAGATGCCCTCCGCGCCATGCGCCTGCGCGGCCCCGTCAGTCGCGGCGCTAGCGGCGGCCGCCCCAGTGAGCCTGCGGCCAGGCCCCTCGGATGATGCAGGCTGCGTTGCACCGCGCAGCTCCTGGCAGGGCGCGCGGCGGCGCGCCTCGGCGTAAGGCCACGGCGGCGGCGCCACGGGCGCGGGCGCGCGGCCGCGCTGCGGCGCACAGGAGGCGCACCAGCTCGGCGTGGCACTGCGTCGCGGCAGCCACGACGCCAGCGCGCCGGGCGCGGAGCCACCCGAGCGCGACCTGCTTGTCATCCGCGTCGAACGCGATGGCGCCCAGCAGCGCGGCAAGGGCACCTGCGTCCACTGGGCCCAGGCGCAGAGCCGCCAGGGCCCGGCGGCGCCGGTCGCTGCGCGCCCAGTCCTCCTTGGCGGCCGCCACGGCCGCTGCCCAAGCCCCAGCGCCCATGCGGAACGAGGCGGGGAAGCGCGGCTCTGCCGCGCTGAGGCTGCAGCGCCGCGCCAGGGCTGCCGCTTCGACTTGCTTCTCTGGCTCTCTAGGTCGGGAGAACGCGCCCGCGGGGTTGCTCTCGGACGCGACCCATTCGATCCACAATTCAACGCCGAGGACCCCCAGCAGGAGCCGGATCGCCCCGACAATATCTTTGCTGCGGTCGTCATTGGCAGCGCCGCTGAGGATGTTCTCCAGCGCGGGCGCGTTGTCCTCGAAGAGGATCAGCCGGGCCCCGCGGAGCTCGTCGGGGCAGGTCAGGAGCAGCACGAGCACGGCAAGCAGCTCGGACTGGGTGCTCCGTTGCCTTTTGCCGACCTTGAGCAGCTCCGCGCTTAGGTGCCGCGGGATGCGCGCCGAGAAGCTGCGGCCGCTGCACCGCGAGGACAGCAGCATGCCCCCGATCGCCCCCGCGCTGGTGTCCACGTCCCAAGAAGATCCGTCGACCCATCCGAGAACGACGGGCCGTTGGTCGCCGTGCTCGCGCCTGCGGTAGATCGGGCAGCGCAGCAGCGCCCTCCACCACGCCAGCGCGCCGGCGAGGCGGTCGGACCAGCCGCCTCGGTGCGCGGACACGTTGGAAGCGCACACGCGGCCGACGCGGCCGAACATTGCCGCGGTGGCGAAGCCCATCAGCCCTCCAAGTCGGGCCGCGTCGCGCCTGCTGAGGCGGCGCGCGCGCAGCGCGGCGCCCACGTCCGCGGCCAGGTCGTCGCGCCGCCTGGCGGTGAGTCGCAGCCCCGCCCGCGCCCGGTGGAGAGCAGGTCCAGCACGGCCGCCGGATCGACCCTGGTTCTTGCCGTCCTTGAGTGGGACGCCGAGCATGGAGTGCGGCTCCTGGAACACCCACTCATTCAGGGCGGCCCACCTGGCTGGGGAAGCGCGGTGGAAATCGTCTACGCACGCATACTGAGGCACGCTGAAGACGCGGCGGAGCGGGCGGCGCACGCTGGCGGCGACGCGCGCGCACCCCCAGACTGCGCCGAACGCCCCGAAGGGGAGCGCCATGTGCGCGTAGGCGCGGAATCCGCCTGCCGGCCCCACGGCGTCGCCCCAGACCAGACACAACAGCAGCGGGATGTCGTCTGGATGCGCCGGCAACTGGCGGTCAGCCTGCGCGTGGTTCCCCTTTGCGATGAGGGGGGCGCCGCCCTCTCCCCACTCGCGGAACTCCTCCGCGATGAACGCGACCGCGTCGGGGAGCGAGGCGAGGCCTGCCATCCGCATGCGCTCCTGCGTCGCTGCTGCGAGGTTCAGGCCGCTCGCCGTGGCATCGTCTACGGGCCGGACTTTGTACGAGGTGGCCGTGCGTTTCTGCAATCGCGGGAAGCGCCGCGTTGGCAGCAACCTGGCGCACGGCACGGTGGAGTGCACCTGGCCGGCGTCGTCGAGCCATGCTTCCCAGGGCCCATCGAGCTTGCCCGCCTCGCGTTCGGCCTCGGTGGCGCGGAGGGCCTCGGCCATGTCTGATTCCCGCTTGGTGTTCACGAGCATTCCCTTTAGTGCGGCATCCCTGTTGTCCAGCGCCTGTTCGAGAGCGCCGTTGAGCTCCGCGGCGCCCGGTGGGTCTGCGCTGTCGGTGGTTTCGTAGACCCGCGCGTCCGGGAGCACGCCCCGCATGCGGAAGCCCGCCATGATATCGGCGATGCCCTCCGGCGTCGTCATGCCCGGAGGCCAGGAGGAGCTCCCTGCGCAGCGGGCCGTCGTACGCCGGCGGTAGCACGCCCCTGACACGCTGGGAGAGGCCTGCGCGCCAGGCGCGGGTCGCGTCGCTAAAGGTTGCCTCGACTCGCTTCCAATACTGCACTTGCCCGACAACCCCGCTTTCCTAATCGGGGCAGTCGCGCGCCCAGAGCAGCGCGCTGCGGATGGGCGCCGGCGGTCGCGCGGCGGGCGGCCCCGCTCACTGGGGCGCCGGCTGGCAGCGCTGCCGGTCCCGGGCCATGTCGACGTGCTGCTTCGGAGAGAGCGCCCGCTGCTGCTGCGTGAATATTTTGGCTGCTCTGCCCGGCGCTGTGGGGTGCCGTGGCGGTGCGGCAGTGTCTTCGGCGCACCAAGGTATGGTGTCTCTGCGCGCGCCCTGCTGGCTGCGCGCTTCTGCGGGCGGCGGCGAGTAGGCGGCTGCCGGTTCGCGTCGACGGCGTCGAACTCTCGTTCGGCCGCAGGGTCATGGAGCCTCGCTGCATAGTCGACCATGGCGATGCCGCTGCAGGTGGTGCCCGCACGGCGCGGGCCATGGCTGGCGCCGCCCGGGGGCGCGAGGTTGCCCATGCTGTAGCGTTGCCGCGGGCTGGCGCCCGCGTGCAGGCCCCAAGCTGGGTCGCCCTGCACGGGCTGTGCGTCGGCGGCCGCGGTGGCGCGGCTCTGCAGGCTGGCGCGCGCCCGCGGGCCGAGCTCCCGGCGCTGGTCCCGGCCGGTCGCTTCAGGGTGAAACTGCGGTTGCTCCCGCTGTGGACGGCTCTGAGCCCAGTCGTCTGCGGCGGGGTGAAACTGGCGGCGCACTGTGGATGGGAGCGCAGCCTGAAGGGCCGCGGCGCCGTGCGGTGCCCGTGGGGCGCGGGCAAATTGCGGGGCGCGGCCGTTCGCGGGGCTGTCTGTCGGGCTCGGCCCCGGTTGCCCCCCCCTGCGTGGAGCCTGCCGCCCCTAGTCACTCATGGCGAAACCAGCAACGGTCACCGTGCTGGCAGGTCCCTTCCATGCACCTGGTGCACCACGCCCCTTTGCCGCCCCCCTTGGTCGACTCGCGTGGCCCCGCCGCGGCGCGCGCGCGCGTTGCCCTTGCGGGCGCCCTTGTCCTTCTTGCCAGCCCCGGACGGCTTGCCCATGCCGGCGGCCTTGCCCTTGTCGCCGCGGCGCTCTGGGGCCGCGGGCGCAAGTTGCCGCAGGCGGCACCGCAGCCGCCGCTGCGCTTTCGAGAGGCGCCTGCGCTTGGCTGCTGGCTGGCCCGCGCCCGCGAGGGCGAGGAGAAGCGCGGCCTGGAAGCTGCCCGCCGCGCCAGGGCGGGCGGCCTGCACGCCACCGTTGGCCCCGAGCGCGGGTGCCCGAGGATGCGCGGCGAGACGCGGCGCCACGGCAAGCGCGACGTCGAGGTCGCCGTTCTCGGGGGGCAAGGACGCGTTGATCGCGTCGTCGATCTTGTCGCCGGCCGTCGACGCCTTGTGCCATTGGTTCTGGCAAACCAGGCACGCTTCGCAATACTCCGCGACTGAGAGGTTCCAGCACCCCGGTCGCGGCGCGCGGTTCTTGCGCACCCTCGCCCAGAATCTCTGGTGGAAGACCTCCAGGCAGTTTATGTCCTCGACCCACCAAGTGAGGAAGATCCGGTTTTCAATGATGTATGCCCAGGTCTCGAGATCCTCCAGTGTGCCGGGTGGTGCTTCCTGCATGGCTGGGAGCTTCCAGGCCAGCGCTCCGTGCTGGACGGGCCCCAGGAAGCTGGCGAGGCCGGTATTTTTGCCGATCTCCTCGGACTGCACCTTGTCCGCGAGCAGGGGGATGCACTCCTTCTGGACGCGGCGCAAGCGCTCGCATCGCCCCCAAAGGCGGCCGCTCGGAAGGCGGGCGTCCTCGACATCGCGCCGCCTCGCCTCGAAGAGGGCCTTAAGCCGCTTCTCGCGGCACTCCGGGTTCAGTTCGTACCATTCCTCGTGGCCCGGATCCTTCGCCTCGATAGGCGTCACCTCCTCCTGGTCGGGAGGCTTGTTCGCGGCCTCTGTGCTGGCGGCGTACCACTTCTGGTAGAAGCCCAACGTCTTCGCCCATGCCGCGGCCCCCTTCTTGACGATCTCGGGGAGCGCGGTCGCGACGGTTGCAACGAAAACGATGTCTACCGGCTTCACTACCGTAACGCCCGCGTGGTCGCGCAGGTATTCCGGGGTGACGGAGTCGGCCACCATGACGTGGTCAGTGAGGCCGCTGCCGGTGACCCACTCCTTGACCTCCGCGGGGAGCGCGGCAAACGCGTCGTCGAAGGTGCTGAACATCGTCCCCAGGTTCCAGTCGGTGTGCGCGGCGCCGTGTAGCTGGCGCGGTGTTTGAGCACAAGGTGCCGCGGTTCTTGAGCACGAGATGGCGGCTGCGGGCAAAGTGCCAAAAAAATGCCTTCTGGCTGACCCTTCGGCGGTTACGATGCCCCGGCGGGCTCGCAACCACCGGGGGGCCGCGCGGGCCAGCAGACCCTGACACGACACGACCCTCGGCGCGGCCTCCGGCCCGACCCTACCCAAAGCTGGGGCAAGCGAAAAGCGGCGGAGCGGCCGCGGACCGTCGGCCTGGCCAGCGGCAGCGCTGACCGGCGGCAGCCCGACCCCAAGAGGGACGGACACGGGACCGACCACGACGACGACGACGACGACGACGACGACGACGACGACGACGACGACAACGACGACGACGACGACGACGACGACGACGACGACGACGACGACCGGGGGAAGGAGGAAGGGGAAGAGGAGGAGGAGGAGGAAGAGGAGGGGGACGACGACGAGGAGGACGAGGGCGAAAAAAAAAAAAGAAGAGGAGGAGGACGAGGCGGAGGAGGAGGGGGAGGAGGAGGAAGGAGGGACGGAGAGAGCGAGGTAGGTGAAGGAGGAGAAGCAAAAGTGAGGAGAACGCGGAAGGAACGACAGGCTGGCACCCGGCAAGCAGCGAGGGAGTCGCACGGTTTATCGGCCTGGCTGGCCGAGGGGCCGGCGTGTTGTTGTAGTTTACTTGGGGGGGTCCGCCGCCCGTGTCGAGGAGCGGCATCTGAATAAACTGCAAAATAAGTCTCAAGCGAGAGCGCGATTCCTGAGTATATCGAAAAGAAGTCTCAAGCAAGAGCCTGCTGTCTCAATAAATTGTGAGGAAATATCAGGCGGGAGCGTTGTTGTTGCTGTAGCTCGGGGGCCCGCCGCCCAGTTTGAGGCTCAAGACTTTCCCTGCGAAGAACCAGGGTGCGAGCCCCAGGACGGGCAATCCAATAGGAAAAACTACATTGGTTACCAGAGGGAGGATCAATCATAGTTATTCTTCAAACGGGAGAGTTCAACAGCAACAACAAGGACAGGGACCTTCCCTGGGCCCCGGCGCTCGGGCTCCTCCAGCGCTATCCTCCAGGGGGGGGCAGGAACCGTCCCCGGGCCCTGGGGTTCCCAACCCCCGCCCCCAACAACAACAACAACAACAACAACAACAACAACAACAACAACAACAACAACAACGACGGGAATGAATAAAAAAACAAAACAAAAACAACAAAACAAACAAAAAACGGAGTGTCCCTCAGGACTCCGGTATTGCATCGGAGTGGTGGCTTACGTGTGAGCGCTAGAGAAGCGAGAGATTCTATAGACACCCTACAGGGATCCGATAGAAACCTTACAGGCATCTTATAGAAACCCTACAGGCATCCTATAGAACCCCTACAGTGATCCTATAGAAACCATAAAGGCATCCTATAGAAACCCTACAGGGACCCTATAGAAACCATACAGGCACCCTGTAGAAACCCTACAGGCGTCCTATTGAAACCCTACAGGCATCCCATAGAAACCCTGAAGGCATCCTGTAGAAACCCTAAAAAGGCATCCGATAGAAACCATACAGGCATCCTATAGAAACCCTAAAGGCATCCGATAAAAACGCTACAGGCATCCGATAGAAACCCTACAAGGCATCCGATAGAAACCCTACAAGACGTCCTATAGAAACCCTACAGGCATCCTATAGAAACCGTACAGGAACCCGATAATATTATTTCTTTTAAATAAAAAACGGGATTCGATAGAAACCCTACAAGGATACGATAGAAACCGTACAGGGACCCGATAGAAATCCTACAAGGATCCTATATACATATAAGGATCCGATAGAAGAGGCCGGGGGATTGTGGTGTCGCTGTGGGTTTTAGACGAAAATTTACGATATGTCACGTTGTTCCTCATCATTATGCTGATGTTTCCTTTCTCGTTTTCTCTCTCTCTCTCTCTCTCAATCTCTCCCACTCCCATTCCCATTCCATTCCCATTCCCAATACCATTACCATTCCCATCCCCATCCCCATTCCCATTCCCATCACATTACCGTTACCATTACCATTACCTTGACCTTTATCTTTACCTTTACCTTTACCATTACCATTACCATTACCATTGCCATTACAATTGCCAGTGCCATTACCATTGCCATTACAATTGCCATTATCATTGCCAGTGCCATTACCAATGCCGTTGCCATTGCCATGGTATTGCCATTGCCAGTCGCCACCCCGTTACCATTACCGTTACCATTACGATTACCATTCCCATTACCATTACAATTCGCCACTACCATTACCATTGACATTATCATTAACATTACCAACACAATTGCCATTACCATTACCATTACCGCTGCCATCACCATTACAATTCCCATTCCCATCACCATTGCCATTACCATTACCGTTACCAGTACCATTTCCATTACCATTGCCATTATCTTTCCCACTACCACTACCATTTCCATTCCCGTTCCCGTTCCAATTACCACTACGATTCCCATTACCATTACCATTACCATTACCATGACCATGACCATGACCATTACCATTGCCATGGCCATTGCTATTGCCATTGCCATTGCCGTTACCATTCCCATTGCCATTGTCATTGCCAGTCCCATTACCATTACCATTGCCATCGCCGTTGCCATTGCCATTGCCAGTCGCTACCCCGTTACCATTGCCATAACCATTACCATTACCGTTATCGTCACCATTACCATTCCCAGTACCATTATCATTACCACTGTCATTGCCATTACCATTACCATTGCCATTGCCATTGCCATTCGCCACTACCATTACCATTGCCATTCGCCACTACCATTACCATTACCATTGCCATTGCCCTTCGCCACTACCATTACCATTGCCAGTACCATTACCATTCCGATTCACATTCCCATTCCCAATACCATTACCATTACCATTACCATTACAACTGCCATTGCCATTACCATTATCATTACCTTTACCTCTACCTTTACATTTACCCTTACCCTTACCATTCCCATTTCCGTTACCACTACCACTGCCATTTCCATGCCCGTTCCCATTCCCATTCACATTCCCATTCCCGTTCCCATTCCCATTCACATTACCATTGCCATTACCATTACCATTGCCATTGCCATTGCCATGGCCATTGCCAGTCCCATTACCATTACCATTGCCATCGCCGTTGCCATTGCCATTGCCAGTCGCTACCCCGTTACCATTGCCATAACCATTACCATTACCGTTATCGTCACCATTACCATTCCCAGTACCATTATGATTACCACTGTCATTACCATGACCATGACCATGACCATTACCATTGCCATTGCCATTGCCATGGCCATTACCATTGCCATTGCCATTCCCATTGCCGTTGCCATTGCCATTGCCATTACCATTACCGTTGCCATTGTCATTGTCATTGCCATTGCCAGTCGCCACCCCGTTACCACTATCATTACCGTTACCATTATCAGTACCATTACCATTACCTCTGTCATTACCAGTACCATTCGCATTGCCATTGCCATTGCCATTAGCCACTACCATTACCATTGCCAGTACCATTTCCATTGCCATTCCCATTATCATGACCATTACCATTGCCATTACCATTACCATTATCACTATCATTTCCATTACCATTACCATTACCTTTACCTCTACCTTTACCTTTACCCTTACCCTTATCATTCCCATTTCCGTTACCACTACCACTACCATTTCCATTCCCGTTCCCGTTCCCGTTCCTATTCCCATTCACATTCCCATTCCCGTTTCCATTCCCATTACCATTGACATTATCATTACACTTATCATTGCCGTTGCCATTGCCATGGCCATTATCATTGTCATTGCCATTGCCAATCCCATTGCCATTGTCATTACCATTACCGTTGCCATTGTCATTGCCATTGCCAATCGCTACCCCCTTACCATTACCATTACCGTTACCATTACCTGTACCAGTACCATTACATTACCCCTGTCATTGCCATTACCATTACCATCACCATCGCCATTGCCATTGCCATTCGTCACTACCATTACCATTGCCAGTACCATTTCCACTCCCATTCCCATTCCCATTACCATTAGCATTACCATGATACTACCGCTGTGGAGGGTTTCAGTAGGAATCCACATGTGGAGGATTTCGGTAGGACTCATTCAGTGGAGGGTTTCGATAGGAACCCTTCTATCGAGGATTTCACTGTGAATCCTTCTTATAGGGGGCGTCCAATAGGAATCCTTCTAGGGGGGAGGGCAGATGTTGCCACGTCGCATTCCTTTTTTTTCTCCTGGCGACCCCCCCAGAAAAAAAAAAAAAACAAAAAAAAACAAAAACAACAAAAAATGTTTCTGGGGGGGGGGGCGCCAGGGGGGAACAAAAAAAAAAGGGCAGAGAGGTAGCAGGAGGGGGAGAGGGAGGAGGAGGAGGAGGAGGAGGAGGAGGAGGAGGAGGAGGCGGAGGAGGAGGAGGAGAAGGAGGAGGGCGACACAGAGCAGAGTTTGCACAGAAACAGTCGCGAACTCAGCGCGAAACCCTCGCGCGCGCGCTTTTGAACCCCTGCGACTCCACATTCCCCCGTTCTCGAGGAGGAGGAGGAGGAGGAGGAGGAGGAGGATGAGGAGAGGGAGGGGTCCGAGAGAAGGATAGATGGGGGCGGGGAAGGGAGGGTGGAAGGTATTCATGTGAAGACCCTGAAGCATGTCAACACATTATGCCGGGGACTCCAACGCCACGGATGAACCTGATTGTTGCGTCCTGACGATCCTGAAGCGTAGCAGAACGCCATCCTTGGGACTTCAACTCCTCGAACCAACGTAACTGATGCACCCTCATAATCCGGAGTCTTTCCAAAACACCGACTCTGGTACGTTGATCATGGGATCCCGTCAAATTCGTGCAACGGTTTGAATGAATATGCTCGGCGCTCAGGTGAGACCCACAGCTGGAAAACGGCCCGCCCTCAATCCGTGAAACTCTTGCAAGTGTTT